ATTCATGCCATCCCCAACCCTTACCTTCATTGTTCTCTTCCACCTCAGCATGCAGTATCATTTATTCACTCCTGCAACTTTCAACTTACATAATTCTTGGGAATCACCAATATACAAGAGAGGTTATTTATTGGATCTAACTTCTATTCCTTTTGTTATAATATCAACCATTGCCCTTCTCAGCTCTGCTCAAAGGCTCTAAGAGCAGGACAGAACCCACTCCCTCCCCTTATACTTCACATTTTCTTCTCCTCATTTCCTTTGCTATAACTTTTTCCAACTCACTAATTTAACATATTTTTAGGGGATTAGAATAGCATAGACTGCAGTGAGTCTAGGTTCTGGGCTTACAACTCAAGGAATTGACACCAGAGAACCTTGGACCTTCCTCCTATTCCTTTTTCTGCTACTCCTCATCCCTCAGTCCAGCTTGCTGCTGTCATTTATTATGTTAGGCATCAGGGCAATTTGGAGAAGGGAAGGATCCACCATTAACACTACTTTGACCTTCCCTTGCTCACCCAACAAAATCCTAGGATTCAGCTCTGTACCAGATGAGGAGCTGCAGAGAGAAACGAAGACACCACAAAACAAAGAATCTGAGGAGCTGAGACCTAAATCTTCAGCTCTCTCTTTAGACCTCTCTTTAGCATTTCCCTTCTGGAAAACTAAGGTTGGATATCTCATGTACTACTAGGGGTAAAATGGGGATCAGACCCCACTCTTTGGATCCTGCTCCTTCCCACACACACTCTAACATTGTTTCCTACCAGGCCCTCAGCACAGCTTTGGGAACATCTGACTAGTTTCAACCTAAGTACAGCCATGCCCACTCACAAAAGTTATCCATGATCTCTTTTACCATCTCCCTTCCTGGAATACCTTCTCTCACCCACTCTAAAAAGATTCCCCGCCCTCCCCTGTAAATATAGTATCACCTTCGGACCTTTGTTTACTGGCTCTCTGCAGTGAAGAGGGAATGAAGGCAATGGGAAGGTATTGAAAGACCACCTAAGTAGCAGGGCTCCCAGACTGTAGGGGTTCCACTTACCCAAAGAAGATAAGAGTAGCACAGCCAGAATAGGGCTGGAGCTGGATGAGGGAGCCCCAGGAGCCATAGCTGGGGAAGGGACTATGGCCTGGAGCGTCTGCGGGGTGAAGAGAGTGGGGGACAAGGACTGAGCGGGGGGATTCCTGGAACCTGCTTAAAATCCCCTGGGACTTCATCAGGAGGGGGCTGTCCTGGGCCAGTAACCAATTGCAGTTTGGCATGTGCAGTTAGGAGGTGGTGGGGAGGGAGGCAGAGTGCAAGGAGCAGAAGGGGCATTGTACAGTCTGGGTGGGGGGGGTGGGGGGACACATACCACCCCATACACAGAAGGCATTGTGTCTATTGGCCTCCCCCTGCCCCAGGCTGGAATGTTGGGGGGTGGTGAGGGACAGGGACAGAAAAATGGACACACACTTCACTAAGAGAAGATAGGAAGGGAAATCTAACTACAAAGTCCACAAAAAGGGATTCCTCCTTAGCTCCCTTGTCTGGAGGTGGCTCCTTGAGAGCTTTAGGAGTTAGAGGCAGGTTCTCCTCAGAGAACTCCCCAAATAGGATATGCTTTGTTATCTTGATGACGTAGGCTACATTACAGACTTCTTGAGATAACCTGGTCCTTTGGGAATCTTTTTTCCATTTCTCTTCATCTTAAGAGATAGAAGCTTAGCTCCATTGGAAAATTCACAGCAAAGAGGTATCAGACCTTTCACTCTCTGTTAGGAACTCCTTCAAGGCCTCATGCTGCAGTTTAATATATTTCAGTTTAGAGCAATGCAACAAACTGCATCCCAATTATATGTAAAGTATGGGAATGTGGGGAATAGAATCAAAATAATAAATTCCTTTTACAAGTTCAAAATCTAGTTTAGGGAGGCAGAAAACAAACCCATCAACATCTTGCTTTAGTAATGAACTACTTGCTTTAGTAATAAACAAATGCCAGGAAAACCACAGAGGGCATACAAGTCACAATATCAGGAAAGTTATATGATTAAAAACAAAAAATAAACTGCATTTAATAAATGAAGCTCAGAGGACGTGGCAGTCAGGCACGGGAAGCAAGGTTAGATACGACCCAACCTTAAAGAATGAGTGCCATTTTGAAAAGGGGAATGGGTAGGGAGGGTAACAGGACAAGCAAGAACAAAGAGGTGACTTGGGTGTCAGTGGTTCACACCTGTAATCCTACCTAAGCAGGCTGAGATCTAAGGAACCAGGCTCAAAGCTAACTCAGGCAGGAAAGTCTGTGAGACTCTTTTTTTTTTTTTTTTGGGTCCGGTCGTGGGGCCTGAACTCTGGGCCTGGGCACTGTCCCTCAGCTCTTCAGCTCAAGGCTAGCGCTCTACCACTTGAGCCACAGTGCCACTTCTGGCTTTTTTCTTTATGTGGTGCTGAGGAATCGAACCCAGGGCCTCAGGCATGCAAGGCAAGCACTCTGCCACTGAGCCACCTTCCCAGCCCCTCTGTGAGACTCTTATCTCCAATTAACAACCCAAAGTCAGAAGTGGAGCTGTGGCTCAAGTGGTAGAGTGCCAACTTTGAGGGAAAAAGCTAAAGAACAGGGCCCGTGTGTCCTGAGACACACATAATAAAAAGGGTGGATTTAATTTGCTTCATCATAATTATCTTCTGAAGATTTAGGGGGGATGGAGTTAGGGATGGGATGTTTATATAAACAGAACTGAGTTTTAAGACAAATCTGGCTAACAGTGTTTCAGACAGAGCTCTCCTGATTATGACTTCCTTTGTTTACCTCCTTAGGATCATATAAAACGATTTTGCTTTTCATCCAACTTACCTCACTCCCGTTCCTTTCTCTCACCTTTTCACCTGTAACCTTGGCAAGGCTCTGCTTCTTCTTGATTACTTTTTTTTTTTTTTTTTTTGAGCTGGTCCTGGGGGCTTCAAGGCCTGGGCTCTATTTCTGGGCTTTTTTGCTCTACCGCCTGTACTACAGCTCCTCTTAAGGCTTTTTCTGTGATTAATTGGAGATAAATTTCATGGCCTTTCCTGCCCTGGATGGCTTCGAACTTTATCCTCAGAACTCAGCCTCCTGAGTTGACTTCTACTTTTGAGTCAGGCTGTTACTGCGTAGTCTAGTCTAGCTACAAAATCCTCCTGTTTCTGCTTTTCAGTGTTGTGATCATAGCCTTGCCTCACTATGCTTAGCTAAAACTTATGTTTTGAGGTATTCATCATGGAATGTGTTGGAGCAGTCTTAAAGATCCAGGAATGCTGTAAAGGGATTCCTGAATAGAAGGTTGAATTAGGGAGCCTCAAAGATCTCTTCCAATCCTTAAGTCTATGAAAGTAATTCTGTTGTCAAGCATTAATAGAAATGCAAAATAGCATTATTCATTTGATACAGTAATAAGCAAATTTGTGCTATTTAAATCCTGAAAGGAACAATACAATAGTGCTAAATATAAATGAGATTTAAATATGAATACAGCCAAACATGTTTTATTGTAAAATCACTAAATTGCTCTGGGCTGCCTCATTTACCCCTCCCTTCTTTTAACTTTCTCTCTGCCAAGGGTCAAGAACTTTTGCATTCTAGTTCCTTTCTCACTAGCTCATTTTCCCTCTTCAGTCTCTCAGGGATTGATTCCTGTACTTAAACGCCTCAAAGCTGCTAATTGATATACAGCATATAAATCAAGGCGGGTTCTCCTCCACACCCGGGTTCTTGTGGTTGTGGGTGTCACCCACACAGTGCTGAAACAAGGAACAAGGGAGCGTTGTCTTTGGCTAGTGGGAGTTCAGCGCATGCAGCAGCTGTAGCCCAGGAACCCCGGGACTTGAGATAGTTAGAGGCCCCCCAACCTTTAAAATGGTGGTGTGAGGTCCTCCTGCAGCCATGTCCTGTCTCCTTAAATTGGGTTTCAAATGTGGGGTGGCAGGGCACAAGTGATACTTTGTAATACTAAAGACTCAGGAGATCTGAGATCTGACCATCACAGTTTGAATCCAGCCCGTTAAAGTCCATGAGAATCTTATTTCCAATTACCCACCAAAAAGCCAGAAGTGGGGCTGTGGTTCAAGTGGTAGAACACTAACCTTCAGCACAGGGCCCTGAGTTCAAACCACAGGATGGACAAACATACATAGACAAAATGTGTTACCGCCTTCTGACTGAAGCTTCCCCTTAGAACCAGAGAAAATCTAAACTTATCCTTTTTCTTGAGTGCCTCAGCTGGCCAAGCCTGACCTTTTTAGGCTGACCTGTGAAGGCGAGTGAAACTGTGGGAAGGGCTCCATGAAGAATCTAGGCAAATTCGTCACTTGGTAAACCTGTAAGGCATGCAAAACATAAGACTGCAATTTTTTTTTCCTTTGCCAGTCCTGGGGCTTGAATTTAGGTGCTGGGCACTGTCCCTCAGCTCTTCAGTTCAAGGCGAGCACTCTACCATTTGAGCCACAGCACCACTTCTGGTTTTCTAGTAGTTTATTGGAGATAAGAGTCTCACGGACTTTCCTGCCCTGGCTGGCTTTGAACGGAGATCCTCAGATCTCAGCCTCCTGAGTAGCTAGGATTACAGGTGTGAGCCACCGCTGCCAGGCGCCCTGAGCTTCTTTTGCTCAAAGCTAGCACTCTACCACTTGAGCCACGGCGCCACTTCCGGCTTTTTCTGTGTATGTGGCGCTGGGGAGTCGAACCGAAGGCTTTATGCATGCAACGCAAGCGCTCTACCACGGAGCCACAGTCTCAGACCCTACTGCAAATTTTTAAGCCAGTGGTGTGTCTACCCAAATCCTTGTAAATAATCAGTGGTGAGGGAGCAGGAGAGCAGTACCATGAAGGAGAAAAACACCATCATCCGAATACAGACCCGAGCCGCGCCACGCCACGCCGGAGCCGGCTTTAAGGAACGCGTGCGATCACGTGACAGCCCCTCCCCTCCCGCTCGGCCCCAGCTCGCGGGGATGGGGGAGGGAAGGGGCGGGAGGGGCCATTCGTCACTTCCGCCCAGGCCGGAATCCAAGATGGCTGCGCTGTTGCTGAGGTGACTTTAGCGCGGGGCGGGGACGCCGTGCTTATGACCCTTGGGGTTTCTGAACTGTCCCCTCTCGCCTTGTCATCTGCGGCTTATGCTGTGCAGGGGCAAAGAAAGGACCCCTGGGTGTGGAGGGTCCTCGCTCTGGAGTCGGGAGACCCCGGCCCTTCTCCCCTGCGGTTGCTATGAGACTGGGCCGGGCTGCGGGGCCCGAACTCCGGACGTTGGGAGTTGTGGCGCGGCGCTCTCCTTTCTTACTCCCCCTTCCCTTCTACTGCTTCGCCCCCATTTTTTTTTTTTTCTTTTCTTTTGGCCCCACAGCCGAGACCCTATAAATCATTCTTGGAGGTCAGCCGACCTTGGCTGCTGCAGCTCGGTGTCCTCTTCGGAGCCGGGCCCGGGGAGGGCTGTGCTGCACCGCTGCCCCCGGGGCGCACTGGGGACGGTTCAGGTTCTAACTCTGCTTTTTTTCTTTTTGCTGTGCTAGGGTGGAACTCAAGGCCTTGTGCTAGACCTCGAGCCACACCCGATCCCTCCAACAGTTTTGTTCCTATTTTGCGAAGCTATTTGTTCTAGAAAGTTAACCTTCGTTAACGGTTGAGATTTCAGCGACTGTGACTGCCTAAGTTCCTAAGGAAACCCTACCCAGCCCGTGACGAGCGGTAGCACCCGGATTAGCCTCGGCTGCCCTCAGAGGGTTCATTTTTGAGTTTTATTTTTCTCCACCGGGGTCTTGGGTAATGGAGTAGATGTTCCAACTTTTGGCGTAAAAGATCAACTCACTGTCTAGAGTAGCATCCTATTTACAACTTTCTCTTTTGTTGTTGGTGGTGGTAATGGGGCTTTGAATTTAAGGACTTGGCGCTGTCCTTGAGCTCTTTTGTTCAAAGTTAGCGGTCTGCCACTTTTAGCCACAGTTCCACTTCTGGCTTTTTCAGTGATACTGGAGATAGTAGTCTTACAGACTTTCCTGCCCAGGCTGGCTTTGAACCGTGACCCTCAGATCTCAGCCTCCTGCTTAGCTAAGATTATAGGCGTGAGCCACCAGGGACCAGCTACAGTTTTATTCAGAACTGTCTAGCTCTCTTTCTGTAATTCACTGCCCTCTAGTTCTAGGGACTAATGCCTTTAGATAACTTCTGGTACAAATCCCAGCATTGTTTCCCTCACCCCCCCCCCCTCACTCTCCCTTCCCTCTCCCTTCCTCCCTCCCTCCCTCCCTCCCTTCCTTCCTCTCTTCCTCCCTCTTTCTCTCTCTCCCCCTTTCCAGTACTGAAGGTTGAATTCATATTTGTTGATAATTGATTGATATTGATTGATAATAAGATAAGTGACCTTTTAAAACATGTCTTCAGTATTCAGGAAGCTTGTATTGTTTTTCTAATATTTACTTTTGTCTTTGTTTTTGCCAATCCTGGGCTTGAACTCGGCGGGAAACTGTCCCTGAGTTTCTTTGGTTTCCGACTTTTTCTGTTTATATGGTACTGAGGAATCAAACCCAAGGTTCATGCATGCTAGGCACTGAGCCACATTCCCAGCCTTATGTTTACTTTTATTTCAGTCATTTTATATATTATAGAAATTTCTTTTGGGGACCGTTTAAGTAGTATCAAAGTTATCTTTTTTTTCTTCTAATCTTTTTTAGTAAGGTGCTGGTGGCTCACACCTGTAATCCTAGCTACTCAGGAGGCTGAGCTCAGAGGATTGCAGTTCGAAGCTGGCCTAGGCTGGAAAGTCTGAGACTCATCTCCAAAAACTACTCAGAAAAAGCCAAAAGTGGTTTTATGGCTTGTGGTAGAGTGTTAGCCTTGAGCACAAGAGGCTCAGGGACAGAGTCTAGGCCCTGAGTTTCAAGCCCAGGTCCAGCAAAAAATAAAATAAAAATAATAATAAATAAAATTACTTTTTATGTGTGTGCCAATACTGGGGCTTGGACTCAAGGCCTGGAGCTGTCAGCATTTTTCCTTACAGCTAGCTGGCTCTCCACACCTCCATTCTGATATTTTTGCTGGTTAATTGGGAGATGGAATATCTTATCTGCCATAGCTTTGAGCTGGGATCTTCAGATCTAAGATGATAGGCCTGAACCACTGAAAAATCTTTGTGCCTGAACCCCTAAAAAATCTTTGTGTTTTCCTTTGTGTTGTACTCGAGTTTGAACTCAAGGCCTTGTGCTTCATCTAGTACTTAGCCATATCCCTACTCCCCAGTACAGGTTTGTACTAACTTTATTTTTGGAAACTTATTTGTTATGGAAAGTTTGCTTCATTGCTGTTGAGATTTCAATTTCTGATTTCCTCAAATACCTTCTCATTTCTCTCCATTTCAGTCATGTAATATAAAAATAGACTTTGTTTAGTTTTTCTTGACAGAATGATTCTCTTGGAGTTGTGATCAGAGTTATCTTAATTCTTCATTTTCTCCTGCCCTTTTTTGTATCTTTTCTCAAAGACAGGCCAAGGCAAGTAGTTCTAGAGAGGCTTCCTGTATTTCAGATGATCAGTTTGAATGCTTTTGAATTATTTGACATTTCACATATATTTCAGTACATGTTTCAGAATCAATGTTTAAAAGCTGGGATTTTTTTTTTTTTTTTTTTTTTGATCAGTTGTAGAGCTTGAACTCGGGGCCTGAGTGCTGTCCCTGGGCTCTTTTTGCTCAGTGCTAGCACTCTACTACTTGGAGCAACAGTGCCACTCCTGGTTATCTGGTGGTTATTTGGAGATAAGCATCTTATAGGGACTTTTCTGCCCTGGCTGGCTTTGAACTGCAGTCCTCAGATCTCAGCCTCCTGAGTAACTAGGATTACAGGTGTGAACTACTGATGCTTGGCTTAGCTGAGCATCATTATACAGTTGATCATTTTCACTCTCAGGTTTTCATTCTTGGATTTAACCAATCTCAGATTGAAAATACTTGAAAAACAAATTGCAGAAAGTTGCAAAACTTGATTTTGTTACTTAGTATTACATCATGTGCACATGCAGTAAAGTAATGATTATATGAGAGAATTGCATTGAATATATGAGAAACCTCAAGCATTTTATACAAACAATTTAATTATTCTTAGATCTTAGTTCTGCTGGGTATCCTGGAACCAGTCCCTGGCCACCATACTTAATATGTGTATCCAGACAATATCATTTGGGGTTGTGTAACACTGACCATTCTAGGACTTAATGTCCCGAGCCCTCAGTCCAATATTTATCACAAAAACAACAACAAAAGCAAAGAACAAGAAAACTAACCACAAAAGTTATACTTAGTACTTTTTTTTGGTTTGTTTTTTCTCTTCTATATGTCAGACATTTTTATTGTTGCTATAGATGCAAAGTATTCAATCCTATCCTCAGGAAGCTCAAAGTCTAGTAGGGGAGATAAATAGGTGAGTTATTAGCATAATGTATAAAGATAGGAACAAATACTATGGGAATATGACTGATGAACCACGTAAGGCTAAAGAAGTAGTGACTTTTTTTCCCCAGTCGTGGGGTTTGAACTCTGGGCCTGAATGCTCAAGGTGAGCACTCTACCACTTGAGCCACAGCACCACTTCTGGTTTTCTGGTGGTCAATTGGAGATAAGAGTCTCATGGACTTTCCTGCCCGGGCTGGCTTTGAACCACAATCTTCAGATCTCAGCCTCCTGAGTAGGTAGGATTACAAGTGTGACCCACCAGCACCTGACTTAAGAAGTGGTGATTTTTAAGCCATACTTAGCCGTACATGGAGAGGCTGAGGCAGGGAGAATCTTGAATTTGAGGCCAGTCTAGGCTATAAGAGCTTGTCTCAAAAACAGACAGAAAATGGTAATTTTGCCATCTAGGAATTAGATTTTGAAGGATGAGTTTTATAGGTTGTGAGAGGTTCCAATAAGATTATGAGCAGATGCATGTAGTCATAAGAGGGCTCCTTCTATTTGGACATAATATAAAAATCAAAGTGGGAGAAGTAAGGAAATTAAGGGAGTTTGTGAGAAAGAGGTCTGGAAAGTTGGGTTGGGTTTTGTTTGCTTACTTTGGATCTTATATTCTAAATAACAAGAGCTGTTAAGTCTTTTAGGCAGAATGATAAAAATAAGCTCTATTTTAAGTTCACACTGGTGATATTGAAAGGTAGGGAAGAAACTACTATTAGGGAGGTCAAAGGTTACTGTTTCAGTTTTAAAAATAGGATAAAGCCAGGCACTGGTGGCTACTGCCTGTAATCCTATCTATTCAGGAAGCTGAGCTCTAAAGATTGCAATTTGAATCCAGTCAGGACAGGAAAATCCATGAGACTCTTCACTAAACTACCAAAAAAAAAAAAAAAAAATTTGGAAGTGGCACTGTGGCTCAAGTGATAGAGTGCTAGCCTTGAGAACAAAAGCTCAGGGGCAGTGCCTAGCTGACTTTGAGCTGAGATCTTCAGATCCAAGCCACTGGATCTGGCCCAGAGTTCAAGCCCCAGGACTAGGAAAAAAAAAAAGAGAGAGAATATGGACCAAAGAAATGGACTAGATTGAAATTTTCTACATAGTATGGTAGGATTGGATGGTTTCGTACATGTATATGAGAGGTAAGAGTAAAGGAGAAATCAGGTATGACTTACGTTGTTGCTTGGGAGTTAGTTGGATGGTAATGATCTTTTAGGTCATTACAGTTATATAAATCAGGTAATGAGTACATTTCTTTTTGGACAATGTCATCTCTTTTCTTCTCTCTTCCATTTTTTTCCTCCCATTGCCACTCACAAGTTGTATAGCTCATTTTCAAAATAGTCCCAGAGCTTTGTATATAAATGATTGTTCTCATCATTCAAGGTTATATATTTTATTGTTGCTTTCACCCAGACATTTATGAAGTTTGGATATAGTATCAGATAAACCTTAGAGGTTGTGTAAGAGAAATACATTATATATGTGTAAAATATTTACATTATACACACACACCAGTTTTTTTAATGCCAGTACCAGGGCTTGAACTTAAGGCCTTATGTTCTCCCTCAGCTTTTTCATTTAAGGCTGCCACTAACACTTGAGCTACCCCTCTACTTTCAGCTTTTTATCTACTAATTGGGGATAAGAGTCTCTTGAATTTGTCTGCCCGGGCTTGCTTTTAACCAGAACTCAGCCTTCTGAGTAGTTAGTAGGCATCAGCCACCAGCACCTGGCCTTTTTTTTTTTTTTTTTTTTGGTCATAGACTCAATATGTAACCCATATTGGTCCTAACTTATACTCCTGCCTCAGCCTCCAAAATGGTGAGATTATAGTTACAGGCTTATTTGTTGTATCTTGTTTTGTCCTAAAAATGGTATTTAATTTGATCACATAGATTTGGCTTCAAATAACTTTTTGGATTTTTTTTCCAGAAGTAATCTAATTTTCAGCAGATGACTTTTTTTTTTTTAATCACCATTGATAGTTTTAAAAATGTGATGTGAATTCTAGAGACCTTGGGAATGGGAGAGGAGAAAGAAGCAATGAGAATATGGGTGAGGGAATGAATTTTTCAAAGTATACTGTGTGCATGTATGGAAGTATCACAAAAAAAACCCTCATACTACAAAATCTGTTAGCTAATGGAACACTAATGGAACAGTATTTTATATATGTGGTATATTTCAGTTTATAGAGAATGTTTTTCTGCACATTTCCTTTTTCTTCCAGCATGAGGTTGAACTCACTGCCTGGGCTCTGTCCCTGAGCTCTTTTACCCAAGGCTACCGTTCTACCACTTTGAGCCATTGCACCACTTCTGGTTTTCTGATGGTTAATTGGAGATAAGGGTCTTGGACTTTCCTGCCTGAGCTGGCTTTGAACTACAGTCCTCAGATCTCAGCCTCCTGAGTAGCTAGGATTACAGGCGTGAGCCACCAGTGCCTGGCTCCACATTTCCTTTTTTTAATGTTTTAAACTTTAAGATAAGTTACCCTATTTATCCCAGACTGGCCTTGAGCTCACTATATCATCTAAGACTGGCCTTCAGTTTACTATCCTCCTGCCTCATCCTGAGTACTGAGATAATAGTGCCCAGCTCATTTCCTATACAGCTCATTTCCTGTATGTTTTTTAAAATGTAGTTCTTAGTTGACACTAAGCAAAAGGAATGTACATATCACCCGATGTAGAAGAAATAACTGTATTTTCAAAGCTTTATAGACCATGATAAAAACAATTTGCCCCATGAAGGTTAGAATGTGTTTGTGACTTTAACTAAGTATCACTATCCCACAATACTGTGAAGTTTGTGAAATTTATGTATCACTTAATCACAATAAAAATTGCAAAAAATAAATAAAATGCAGTTCTTCCAATTTTTTTTTTTGTCGGTCGTGGGGCTTGAACTCTGAGCCTGGGCACTGTCCCTCAGCTCTTCAGCTCAAGGCGAGTGCTCTACCACTTGAGCTACAGCGCCACTTCCGGTTTTCTGGTGGTTTATTGGAGATAGGAGTCTCACGGTCTCTACTGCCCGGGCTGGCTTTGAACCGCGATCCTCAGATCTCAGCCTCCTGAGTAGCTAGGATTACAGGCATGAGCCACCAGCGCCCGGCAGTTCTTCCAATTATTAATGAGGTAGATTGATCAGTCTGGTGAAAATGGTAAAGCAGAAGTTCAGTGAATCCTTCGTGTTAAAACTCATGTAGATCTAAAACTCTAACCTAGCATTTTTACATATTATTGTTGCTGCCTTAGTCTGTAGAAGTGGTTCAAAGATGTTAAATGATTACATTTTTGAGGAGACACGTTTCATGCACAGGGAAAGAGACAGCACTAGAATTATAGATTTCTACTTTGTAAAAGTAAAACAAACTACTGTTTTCTAGCTATAACATTTTAAGTTCTATCATTGTGTAGAAAATGAGTCTTTCTGTTGTTGTTCCTGGTTGCACATGAAAGGCAAGTATCGATAATTACTTTTGTCATGTTTAAAATGAGGTTATGGAGTTTGGTATAACTCATTTCTATAAGGGCCTTGTGAAAGCTTACATTGGTATTTGGGGAACAATAGCACTAGACCGGACACGCCATAGATTCCAACCCACATCTGCAAACTCTTACTGGGTAGCGGAGTAACAAGGCCTAGCCTCGTGTAAGGAATGTGTGCCCTGCAACTTCAGAGACAATTCAGTTGATTTAAAGAGATTTGTTCCCACTTCTTTCTGAGAGCATTGGGTATACAATGGGTATATTCACGTCTTGCCTCCAAAGCTGGGGAGAGGGAAGAATTGAAGAAGGAAGTGTTATTGGATTTTTCTCTTCAAATAGTGGTCCCTTCCAATATATTGCTGTATAGCATAAGGCTCTTGAAATGTTTGCGATTCTAATATCAGTGGTATGAGATCTTTATATCCTTATAATGCCTTCCACATAATGGATACAGAAAAAACTTTTCTAGAAGCTGGATACCAGTTGCTCACGCCTGTAATCCTAGCTACTGAGGAGGCTAAGATCTGAGGATCACGGTTCAAAGGGAGCCCAGGCAGGAAAGTCTGTGAGACTGTAATCTCTAGTTAACCACCAGAAAACCAGAAGTGGCACTGTGGCTCAAATGAGCTGAAGAGCTCAGGGCCAGCACCCAGACCCAGAGTTCAAACCCCATGACCGACCCCCCCCCAAAAAAAAAAACCCAACTTTTTCAGAATCAATTTTTAATTTTTGCTCCCAGAATTCCAAGTGATCAATTACTTAAGTGCTTTTGAAAATTTTGATTTTTTGTAACTAAAAGGTAGAGTGGGTTGTATGTTTTTTCATAATACTATTTCAACTTGGTATTGGTTACATTCTCCATAAATAAAATGCTTGGCCACACTTTAGTTTTTACTTGAAAAGTAGTTCTGGCCATAATATATACATTTCTGCAAGTTTTACTTAGAAAATTTAATGTCTGTTTAAATACATTTTTACGAGAGTGGCTTTTTAACTTGAAGTTTATATAGGTTTTCTAGAATTTGATGGTAGTTCCTGAAATAATGTGGTTAAGATTAGGATAATCCCTCTTCAAATCCTGTAGTCTTTTGGGGGGCTGCAAGAGGGGAGAGCGTTAGCAGGCTTGAACTCCAGGCTTTAATTGGCTAAGCTTGCTCAGCTAGCACTCTACCAGTTGAACTAAGCCTTCATCCTGGCTTTTTGCCGTGCCACTGGGGATGACAAGAGATTGCCACTGTATTTAGTCATTGTGCCTCCCCCATAGCTAGGACAATAAGCAAGCATCACCATGAGTCTAGCCATTGAGTGAAATGGAATGTCCTGAACTTGCTTGGGCTAACCTCAAAGCTCAATCCTTAGATTTCGTCCTCCCAAGTAGCTAGGAGTATAGGCTTGAGTGACTGTACCTGACTTGTTTCTTTGTGTTCAATTGATACATTATTTTACAATTGTAGATAATACTTTTATTTTCAAATTACATTGTAGGTAATACTTTTCAAATTACGTCCAAGTGTAGGTTTTCAGCCAGAAAATAGGACACATACTGTTACTATTTTCATCATCTTACTTTATTTTCTATTTTATGTGTTTAGGTGCTGTTTGAACTCTGCTCCATATATGCTAAGCTCGTGTTTACCACTGAGTTACAGTCCTAGACCTTCTCTTCTTTTTATATAATACTCTAAGGCTAACGCAGTACAAAAATAGAAAAGTTGATATACTAATGTTGATCTCTAAATGTGTATTGATTCTAGATTCTCTTATGTTGCAGACATACAGGCCGTCATTGCCTCCGAGCCTACGTTAATCCTCAGCTCTGTTTCAGAAAGTAAGTTTCCAAATCTATTAATAATAATATTATCACTTTTCCCCCTCAGAGAAAAGCAGTAGATTGTTGGTAGAGATTTGAAGAATAATTAAGAAAGCATGCAGTAATTGACACTTGGCTGAAAAGTTAATAATTGTAGAAACTGTGTTTCTGATTTTGTGTGTGTGTGTGTGAGAGAGAGAAAGAGAGAGAAGGGAGAAGGAGAGAGAGAGAGAAAGAGAGAGTGAGTGTGTCCTGGGGCTTGAACTCAGGACATGGGCACTGTCCTTGTGCTTCTTTTGCTTAAGACTAGCACTCTACCACTTGTGGTGCTGAGGATTTGAACCCAGGGCTTCATGCATGCTAGACAAATGCTCTTCCACTAAGCCACATTCCCAGCCCTGTGTTTCTGTTTTTTAATTTTTTTCTTTTTTCCTTCCTTCCTTTTGTTTGTTTCTTTCTTTCTTTCTTTTTTTTTTTCCAGTTTAAATGGTTCTCCTGACTGAGATGCTGGAGTACTGGGATTACAGATATATGCCACTATGTTTAGCACAGTTAGCCTTTTGCCTTTTACCCAGATACATCAGTTGTTAACATTTTCTTATATTTTCTTTTATAACACAGTACAATTATATAGGCATAATTAGCAAATTTAGGAAGTTTAACATTTTCAAACACTTGATATACAGTTAATTTTTAGATTTTTTATTTAAAAAAATATGCTTTATAGAAATACAATCTTCTGGGGCTAGGAAGGTGGCTCAGTGGTAGAGCACTTGCCTTGCATGCCTGAGGCCCTGGGTTCGATTCCTCAGCACGACATAAGCAAAAAGAAAAAAAGCTGAAAGTGGCGCTGTGGCTCAAGTGGTAGAGCTCTAGCTTTGAGCTGAAGAGCTAAGGGACAGCACCCAGGCCCAGAGATCAGGCCCCACGACCAGAACAACCCCCCCCCCCCCCCAAAAAAAAAAAAAAAAAGAAATACAATCTTCTTTTTCTCATTCAGGGAACTAATTCGATGCACACATATTTCTGTCATATTTCTGTAGTATCTTTTAACCTAGATATGAGTCTTAGCCTTTCTTTGTTGTTGTTTGTTTTTTTTTTTTTTTACTGTACTGGCTTTGCTTGGTCTCTCCTCTGGCACTGTCATTTGAGCCACACCTCCAGCCCTTCCTTTTTTTTTAAAATTCCAGTTCTAAGGCTTGAACTCAGGGTCCAGATGCTGTCCCTGATCTTTTTCTTTTTTGGGGGGGTTCCGGTCGTGGGGCCTGAACTCTGGGCCTGGGCGCTGTCCCTCAGCTCTTCAGCTCAAGGCTAGCGCTCTACCACTTGAGCCACAGTGCCACTTCCGGCTTTTTGCTTTTTGCTTATGTGGTGCTGAGGAATCAAACCCAGGGCCTCAGGCATGCAAGGCAAGCGCTCTACCACTGAGCCACCTTCCCAGCTCTGTTGTCTGTGAGTTTTAAACATTGGTCATCTGAATAAGGAAATATAGACCAGGCTTTTGCTACTACAGAGGTGTTTTTTGTTTTGTTTTGTTTTCATTTTGTGCTTGCTTTTTGTTTTGTTTTTATCCTTTTATAGTACCAAATAATTTATCAGGAGCTTTTCACCTTTGTCAATCCTTCCTTCCTAACTTCTTTTCTTCCTTCCCTCCATCCCTCTTTTCCTCTCTTGGTAATAGCATTGATCCCCAGGCTTAGTATATGTTAAGCGTGTACTTTTACCACTGGTCCATACTTATAGCCCTTGATATCCTGAGGGAAATGGAATCACATTTTGTTTATTTTATTTTAAATTTTTTTATTGTGAAAAAACTGTACAGAGGGGTTACAATTACATGGGCAAGATAATGAGTACATTTCTTATCAAGCATTGTAGCCTCCTCCTTTGTTTCCCCTTCCCATCCCTTCCAAGCCTCCCCCCACCCCCCCACATTTCGTTTAATATTTGTTTTTTGTTCTTCTGTCTTGGAGGTCAAACCTAGGGCCTTTGTATGCCAGATAAGTATTGTACACCACATTCCTTGGCTGAGGTTATTAATTGAATCAGACTTGTCAGAAAAATAAAGCAATTGGACAAACATGTTTTTCTCCCAAGTCAGTCTAGTCATCTTACCTTTTTAAATATTTTATTCTGAGCTGGGATCCAGTGGCTCACTCCTGTTATCCTAGCTATTCAGGAGGCTGAGATCTGAGGATCATGGTTCGAAGCCAGTTTAGACAAGAAAGTCTATGAGACTCTTATCTCTAATAAACTACTCAGAAAAATTCAGAAGTGACTCTGTAGCTCCAGTGATAGAGCACTAGCCTTGAGCACAAAGAGGCTCAGGGATGGTACCTAGGCACTGAGTTCAAGCCCCAAAACTGGCCAAAAAAACAACAACAACAAAAACCCTAATTAACTAAATAAATAAATATTTTGTTATGTAAAGTAGTAAGCCAGGTTTACTTTTAATACTTCTTAAACCTTCTGATTTTGTTTTAGTGCTATTCCTATGGGAACAACAGCCAAAGAAGAAATGGAACGGTTCTGGAATAAGAACACAACTTTAAATCGTCCTCTGTCTCCCCATATCACTATCTACAGGTAAGAATTCTGGAGCCAAGAATGTGGAGGGAGTAGGTGAAAGTTCTGCAAGTTGGTCTTTGTCTCCCTGTTATTTTCTTCAGATAGAGGGAAATACTTACTTCACTGGTATATAACATTAGATGATAGGGTAGAGAGAGATAACAAAAGTCTTATATTTGGCTCCTTATATAAGAATGACTAAATTCTAATCTTACTAGATCTTTAAAAAAATGCTATCATTTAGGAAATTTTGGTAAGTCAAATGTAATTCCTGTTAACTAAAGAAAAAAACTTTGGGAGCAATTTCAAATTTGTATAACCCTTAAAGGAAAAATGTAGAGTTTCCCTTTACCTTTATGCTAGCTCCCAATTTGTTAATATGTCTGAATTATTTAAGAAAAAGAAGCAATGAGGCTGGGAAGGTGTCTCAGTGGTAGAGCGTTTGCCCTGCATGCATGAGTACCACATAAGCAAAAAGAAAAAAGCCAGAAGTGGCACTGTGGTTCAAGTGGTAGAGCGCTAGCCTTGAGCTGAAGAGCTGAGGGATAGCTGAAGAGCTGAGGGATAGCATCCAGGCCCAGAGTTCAGGCCCCACGACCGGACCCAAAAGAAAAAGAAGCAATGCCTCATTACTCCTGTGTGGGCTTTTTTTTTTTTGGTCTACATTAGTTGTGCCAGGGGAGTTTCATTGTGATATTTCCGTACTTGGAAATAATATATCTGAATTGAACCACCTCATTTATTATCATTTTCCTTTATCCCTCCTTCTTAAAACAATTTCAACCATTTTTATACTTGCAAATAAACTATTTCTACCATATTTATCCTCACTCACTTTCTCCCTCCTTGTCATAGCCTTCCCCAACAGATTCTGTTTGAGTTCATGACTTTCAGTTTTTACTATATATTAATTGTACGAAGGAATTTTACCATGATACTTCAAATGTACAAATATTTTAATCAAAATAACTCTTTCTTTTGCTTTCTCTTTCCTTTTATCTCTCAGCTCCTTATTGACTGGCACTATTTAGATAGCTTTTTTTTTTTTTTGCCGGTTGTGGGGCTTTAACTCAGGCGCTGTCCCCAAGCTCTTCAGCTCAAGGCTAGTGTTCTACCACTTTGAGCCACAGCTCCACTTCTAGTGTTTTGTGTGGTTAATTGGAGATAAGAGTCTCACAGGGACTTTTCTGCCCAGGCTGGCTTCAAACTGTGATCCTCAGAGATCCTCCTGAGTAGCTAGGATTATAGGTGTGAGTCACTAGTGCCCAGCTTTTAGATACTTTTTGAGTAGTTGTACAGAGTGGTTACAATTCCATAAGTCAAGTTATGAGTACAGGTCTTCTTGGTCAGTGTTATCCCTTTCTTTGTTCTCCCATTTTCTCCTCCATTTAGATGCATACAAAATTATCAGTATAGGCAGAGAGTCTTGGGACACCAACAAGAAGCATTTGAGGGGTTGGGAAGGTGGCTCAGTGGTAGAGTGCTTGCATGCATGAGGTCCTGTGTTCAATTCCTCAGTACCACATAAGCAGAAAAAGCCAGAAGTGGCACTGTGGCTCAAGTGGAAGAGCACTAGCCTTGAGTTGAAGAGCTGAGGGACAACAATCAGGCCCAGAATTCAGGCCCCATGACCAACAAAGAAAAAATTTTTAAAAGAAGCGTTTGAGAAGCATTATGTCTTTCTTGCCATATATGGTCTACCCATTGGCTGGGCATTCCCTTCCCCTGCACCAGTTCCATAGTTAGAATCATGTTTCTGTGTGTATATTAGGTGTATATATGTGTCTGTGTATGTAAGTGTATATATGTGTGTGTGTGTGTGTGTATATGTATATAGATACATATATATATATTATGTATGTGTTCACAAATACATATATCTTTTAGATCTAGCTTTTACAAATGGGGAAAAAATTGCTATTTGCTTTTCTAAGCCTGACTTACCTTGTTCAATATAGTGTTCTTTAATTCCATTCATTTTCCTGCAAATGACATGTTTTCATTCTTCTTTATGGATGTGTAATATTCCATGGTATGTATTGCTATATTTTCTTTATCCCCTTTACCTGTTATTTGGTACCTCAGCTTATTTCCATAGTTTGGCTGTGGTGAGCAGCACTGCAGTAAATATGGCTATGCAGGTATATTTCTTTTCTTTTTTCTTTTTTTTTGGTAGGTGGTGGGGCTTGAACTCTGGGCCTGGGTGCTGTCCCTCAGCTCTTCAGATCAAGGCTAAGCCTCTACAACTTAAGCCACAGCACCACCTCTGGTTTTCTGGTGGTTTATTGGAGATAAGAGTCCAATGGACTTTTCCTGCCCCGGCTAACTTTGAACCACAATCCTCAGATCTCAGCCTCCTGAGTAGCTAGGATTATAGGCATGAGCCACCAGCATCTGGCCCTGCAGGTATATTTCTTGTGTTTTGATTTATACTCCTTTGGATACATGTCTAGTAGTGCTATATCAAGGACATAAGATAGGTATACTTTTAGGTTTGTTTTTTTTTTTAAACAAACAAACATGTTGTCAGGTGCTGATGGCTTATTCCCTTTAAGGTACTCAAGAAGTTGAAATCTGAGGATCATGGTTCAAAGCCAGTCTGGGCAGGAAAGTCCATGAGACTTTTATTACCAATTAACCACCAAAAAAAATAAGCTGAAAGTAGAGCTGTAGTTCAAGTGGTAGAGCAATAGACTTGAACAAAAACTCCCAAGGATAGCTCTCAGGCCCTAAGTTAAAAACCCAGGATGACCACACATACACACAGAAAGGAACCTTCTTACCGATTCTATTGCAGTTGTGATAGTTTTTGTTCCTACCAACAATGCATGAGGGTTCCTTTTTCTCCACATCAACTTCAGCATTTGTTGTTGTTGTTGTTGTACACTTTTTGTTTTTTGGGTTTTTTTTTTTTTTTTTGGTTGGTCCTGGGGCTTGAACTCTCAGCCTGGGCAGTCCTTCAGCTCTTCAGCTCAAGGCTAGCGCTGTACCACGTGAGCCACAGTGCCACTTCCGGTTTTCTGTGGTTTATTGGAGATAAGAGTCTCACAGACTTTTCTGCCTGGGCTGGCTTTGAATGGAGATCCTCAGATCTCAGCCTCCTGAGTAGCTGGGATTACAGGCACCCAGCTGTTGTTGGTGTTTTTAATGATTGCCATTTTGACTGGAGTGCGATGGAATGTTACTATAGTTTTGTTTTGTGTTTGTTTGTTTTGATTTGATTTTTTGTTTTTTTGGTTGGTTGTGGAGCTTGAACTCAGCTTGTGCACTGTCCCTGAGCTCTTTAGCTCAAGGTGAGTTCTCTACTGCTTGAGCCACAGTGCCTCTTCTGGATTTTTCTGCTTATGTGGTGCTGAGGAATCGAACCCAGGGCCTTAGGCATGCAAGGCCACCTTCCCAGCCCATGCTTTGTATTTTCGTAAAGCTGAGGGTGTTGAACATATTTTCATGGGTCTATTAGCCATTTGTATTTCTTTTTCTGAGAATTGTCTTTCCATTTGCACCCCCCCTTTTTTTTTGGTCATGAAACTTGAATTCAGGGCCTGAATCTTGTCCCTGAGCTCTTTTGTTCAAGGCTAGCACTGTACCACTTTGTGCCATAACTCTACTCCCGGTATTTTTTTGGTTAACTGGAGATAATAGTCTCATGGACATTGTTGCCCGTGCTGGTTTCTAACGGTGATCCTCAGATCTCATTCTCCTGTGTATCTAGGATTACAGGCATGAGCCATCAGTGCCCAAGTTTGCTTATTGATTTATTAATGGCTTATTCTCTTGCTGTCTAATTTTTTGAGATCATCTATCTATCTATCTTATCTATCCTATCCACAAATGTTTTTATAAATTTATTTCTCCCAACATACTATATGTATGTAGCCATATTAATATACACACAGACATAATCTCTGTTTATCACTTGTTCTCACAAGGAATTACTAGCTTACTTTGTGGGTATCTTCTAAGAAAGTCCCTGAAGAGTTGCTTTTTGTTTGTTTGGTTGGTTTTTCAAAGCTAACCCAGCAAATCATCTTGACTTCTTCTACCTTCTTTACTTGGTTTCCTGCCAGAGAGGCTGCCATTTTTTAACCACCTCCACAAATACCACAATCCTTCGTTTTTTTTCCAACCCAAATTCCAGGAATAATTCTGATTGCAGAAGTTGGACATTGTACTAAAAATAAGGCTGCTAATAAGAGATCTCAATTCTTAGTACTTCATGGTAAAACTTTTTAAAAGAGGTAAATGATTTAGGGAGGATTATATTTGACAGAGAACTTCCAAAATTATTCAGTCTATATTTAAAGCCCGGGACTTTTCCCCCCACAATCATACAAAATTGGGCAGTAGATTCATAGTAGAGGTAAGTAGAGATAGTAGAGGCAAGTCTCTTACTGCCTTTTTTTTGAGGAGGGGGGGGGGAGGTGAGGGAGTCCGGTTGTGGGGCCTGAACTCTGGGCCTGGGTGCTGTCCCTCAGCTCTTCAGCTCAAGGCTAGCGCTCTACCACTTGAGCCACTTCTGGCTTTTTTTCTTTTTGCTTATGTGGTGCTAAGGAATCGAACTCAGGGCCTCATGCATGCAAGGCAAGCGCTCTACCACTGAGCCACTTTACCAGCCCTACTACCTTATTTTTTATTCCAGTTATGGCACTCCAGACCCACTTTTGAGAAAACAAAAGGAACAGCAGGAAACATAGGGCTTTTTCCAGCATGATATGTTAGGGACATATTTGATTAGGTAAAGTCATATTTTCTCTTAAAGAGGCATAGAAAGTAAGTGCTTAATGAAGTTGAGCATTACTGGGTATACTTTTTTCTTTCCTTCTTTCCTTCTTTGTGTGTGTGTGTGTGTGTGTGTGTGTGTGTGTGTGTGTGTGTGTAAGACCTAGGGGTGCTGTTCCTGAGTGTGTGTGTGTGTGTGTGTGTGTGTGTGTGTGTGTGTGTGTGTGTGTGTGTGTGTGTGTGTAAGACCTAGGGGTGCTGTTCCTGAGCTTCTTTTGGTCAATCATAAGGCTTGAACT